AACTTGTTGTTCAACAAAATTCAATTCTAAATAACTTGGAATTTTTTTTTCCATTTTTAATGTTTTTTATTTTTTATTTTAAGCCAGCTATTCATTAAATGTGTTAAAATTGTGTTGGAATACTCTTTTTTTTGAGGGAATTTAGTAGTGTTCCAAATTAAACAATCCAAACTAGGGACTCCTCCTGCAGTAAGTTCTATTTTATACCATCCTTCATTTTTATTCTCTTCTATTTGCATCCTATATATATGTAAAATTGTAGCTGCTCTGTAATTATTTGATATTAAAGGATAAGCTAATCCTCATCTACTTAATTTTTGTGTTAATATTGACTGACTCAATCTTGGTTTCTTACCTTTCCAGATATATTAGGTGAAACTTTTCTGTATCAGTTCCAACCAATGATTAGAGAGATATAATGGCAGCATTTGAAACATATAGTTCCATTTTGGAATAACATATGAATTAACCACGTTTATTCTTCCCCAAAAAGATATTTCTAAATTCCTTTGGTTTTTTAACCATTTATTAAGATTTTGTAATAAAGCTAAAAAATTTATCTCCATAATTTTATTTACATCTCTAGTCAGTTTAACTCCCAAATAATCTATACTATTTTCAACCCATAAAAAATTATATCTATCTTTAATCTTATTTTTAGTTTGCTTATCCAAATTAATATCCAAAATCATAGATTTGTTTATATTTAATTTATAGTAAGATATTTTACTATAACTGTCGATTTCTGACATTAGAAAATCCAATGAAATATCAGGGTTGATTATAGTAATTAAAATATCGTCGGCGTATAAACTTAATTTCTGTTCTACATCTACTGTTTTATAGCCATTAATCTTTTTATTATTTTTGATTTTCTCAGCTAATGGTTCAATAGAGAACAAACACAATAATGGTGAAAGTGGACACCCCTGTCGTGTTCCGTTTTTCAATTGGAACCAGTGATGTTTGGTCCTTTAGTACGTGCTAATGGGTTTGCATAAAGGGCCATAATGGCTTTCTTGATCCAGCCATCAAGGCCATAATGCGACAGTACAACCTCTAAATAGCTCCAGTTGACTCTGTTGAATGCTTTTCAAGCATCAATCGACAGAGCCAAAACTGGAACCAAATCATATCCAGCCTTGAGTAGGAAAAGTGGACTTTAGAGAAGTGTGTATAATCTCTTAAATTTGGATTATGAATTCTCCAGATATCAAACAGATTGAATTCATCTTTGATATTTTTGAAGGATTTAGCTTGTTTAACTACCATTTTATTTATTTTAACACCTTTCATTATTTTCTTATCTATTTGTGGATCAATAACCGCATTGAAATCTCCAGCTAATATTAAATTCCCTACTTTTATTTCTTCTATTTTTTCTAGAATAGATCTTAAATAAGAAGCTGGTGAATAATTTGGGAGGTAGACATTACAGAGTGTAAATAACTTAGAATTAATTTTACATACTACTACCAAAAATCTGCCATCTGCATCTTGTAATTGTTGAATTATTTCTACCTCTATTTTGTTCACCAAATATTATGGCTACACCACATTTTTTTTATCTTTATTTGAGGCTTGTATGATAAGGGGGAAATTTTTTCCACCCCAAGTCTGTTTGTCCGATTGTCTCCAATGGGTTTCTTGTAGAAATCCCAAATCTATGTGTTCAGCAGCTAAATATTTATATACTAAAGACCTCTTTATTGTTGTGTTCATACCTTGGACATTAAGAGTTAACATTCTTATCATTGGAATTTCTCAAACCTCTTTCCCTCCATCTCGACATTATGATCTCCCCCATTTTCCTCTATTGCTGCACAAACATACATATAACAAAAAAACACATATCTAAAATCATAGGAGGATATCATCCTCCTTAAAAACATAGACTGTTAACTCACCAACTGGGGAGTCAGTCTAATCCTGTGTCTAAATGATAGACACTAAATAGGTCTGTCCGGATTAATTCTCATTATTCTCATTATCAAAAATGTTGCCACGTATTAATTAAGCAGTCCTGCCATTGAGCTTTGTTTGACCGATGCTTGTAATTTTTCCATTATCTTGTTATTTGTTGGTAAGTATTAGTTTCAGAGGGCGACTGTAATATTTTTATTCTGTATTTGTTGTAATCTTGTATCATTAAAGCTACCCCAGTATCTGTTGTCATTGCCCAAATCCTTGAGAGACGTTCTTTCCATTTCTGTTAAATTCATATGTCGATTAGGCTTAACTGCAAGGATATGTTCACCATCCAAACGTACTAGTTGTACAAACATTTTAATGGTTGAGGTGTGTCGTTTTAGGATTTTAGGTACTTTTTCAAATTAAAAGGATGTTTTTCTTTGTTTTCCCATTAATCTCTTAAAATATTCAAGTTCAAAATTCCCTTCATGTTTACTAGTTGCACCTCTGTGTTAAATTTGTGAGCGCCAGCTGTAAGTAACCCTTTAGACAATACTCTATAGTGTTCCTGAGACAAAGGTTTAGAGGACAAATGAAGTACCAGATTAATGTCTTCCTTACTGGTGGTTTGGATCTTAAACTGGTAGATCTTACCCTTCTGTTTACTTCTAATGGGTCATGACCTCAGTCTGTCCTTATGCCGTATGGTTGATGATATAGGGGGATTATTTGAAAATTGTGACCTGTCTAAAAAAGACTGAGAGTGACCAGATGAAATGGGGTTGTGCATTCTGCTGCACATGTCAATTCCTTCAGTTTCTGATGTATATTTATTATAGCACATAAATATAATTATATGATTTTTTTTCTGTACATATCATGAAGCTTCCTCAGCACCTTGCATCCGTCCTGCTTCTAAATCATTGCCTGAAACTAATTTCGACAACAGCCAGTATTCCTAATACATCCTTATAGATATAGTCATGGGAAGCAAGAGTCCAGATAGAAGATGTATCAAGGTAACAATGGGTTCCATGCTGGCAAAGTGCTAAATACATAGAAACATAGAATGTGACGGCAGATAAGAACCATTCGGCCCATCTAGTCTGCCCAATTAAATGCGTAGCAATCAAGAGATGAACATCAGCATATTGCACTTTGCACACAAAATACTGATAACCCCCCTCCATATATGTATTTGTAATGTCTGACTTACATGTGTGTTACAAATGGCCTATATGTACGGTAGGCAATAATTCGCATAATAATAAGCTTGAACAGGGGCATACCACCATACTTGATAGCAGTAACATATTCACATAAACTTTTCACTTTACTTCCCAAACTTTTCACTTTCACCATCACTTAATTGCCAGTCAGTCATAGCTAACCTGACCGCCTTTTATAAACAACCATTTAACACATATACTTCCTCAGAACTTGAACCTGAGAATGACTTTGCCCCAAGCTTCCAACACCACGACATTACTTACAAAGAAAGTTAGCAAATAGAGGGAGGGAGGGTGGGGGTCTGTCGGTGCTTCTCCTGTCCTGTAGAAAAGCAGCTGACAGGGATTGCCTAGCGCTGTCACCTTTTTATGCTTACCTGAGTTCCTGCTTTTTTGTTGGCTCACTGACAGCAACCAATCCTCAGCCAGCTCTTGTCCCCAGCAACAGCTGTGGCACCTAATCTGCCCAGCTACTTGTCCCCACTCTGCCCAACAACCTGATCAGGATCATGAACTTACACTGAACTTTTCCTGTAGTATTAACTGGACCTATTAACCCTCTATTGCCACCACATATATGCCACAGTGCTTAATGCCTGTGTCCTCTTTTGCCCTATTTCCCTTTTGCCCAGTCGAGAGGTGGGGCTGAGTCAACAGTGTCACATCCCACCTATTGTAAGCTTAAAGTAAGTTGGTCAAGGAGACCCATGGTGATGCAAGAGCTGGCTCTGACCATTTCCCCACTGTAATACTGTACATGCATACCTTCTATAATGCAAACAAATGGTATGTCTGTAAATGAAGAAAAGCTGTGTGCTCATACAATAAACCAGTTCACTGGTATTCACTTTTACATCAAGAAGAAGCCTTCTTGTGCCTTTCTGTGTTGTAACTATCTACATTATGCTATAGTGCGATCGCTCATAGGAGAATCGCTACCAGTTTTTAGTTAGATAGAACATCCTGTAATACCTGGATATACTTTGTAATACTGGAACTTTGTGTTGTATCCTGCTTGGCCAAGGGATTATTAACTCAAGTACCAGAGTCCTAGTGCTCAGCATAGAAGTTCCCACAGACAATACAAGATCGGAACAGTTAAGCCTTCCGTAACAGAGACGCCAGGACTGTATCGCTTCCAACTGAATCATCAGCAAACAGAGACGCTGCATTCGCTAGTAGGATAAGAACAAGCTGGTGCAAAGAATCCTACGGGAGATATTAGGCCTGAACTGGTCCACCATCAGGGTCAGAGATGGCTGGGCCATATTGTTACAATGTGATAATTAGACATTTATGTTAAAGGAGGATAGTAAATGGGATAATGGTAACTGACAGATATGTGTCTATAACTTTTTCAACCTGTAAAAGTGGTGGATACATGTCTGGGATAATGTGCTAAATTTGATGACAATATAAGTGTTACAACTCTTCTAAGATATTTAACTGGTTGATCATTTTATGAACAAACTGAAACACCCCTAACTTTATAGAGTAATGGACGGTTGTGATGTTGTGTCATCTTTGTTTAGATGTTTGGATAATGATGTTTGGATAATGTTAACTATCATTATTATAGCTTTCTCCCTTAAATCTTTTTATAATAGAAATATTAGAATGTTTGGTTTCAGTAACATTGGGAACGTCATTCTAGTAATAAGATGATCTCACATTTACCATCAAATCTCTGCAGCTGAGATCAGTCACCAGTAAACATTATAACATGACTATTATCCTTATTTCAAAGAGTGTAAATACTGTAAGATCAGCATAGTACATGTAAAATTCACACAATGCTCTTTAGTAATCTTTCTAACATCTCCACTCTTGCAAATGTATATTAAAAATGCACATCAAGCGTTTTTGATTTTTTTTTGTTTATTTGTTATTTATGAGAATGTTCTATGCAGTACAGAAATAGATTAAATATAAAATAAATAAGAAATTGCAGTTGCTTGACAAAACAGTCCCAAATCCACCTTTATCTGTGATATACAGAACCAGAAATCGTAAAAATGAGAACACTTAATGATTCTGTGGTCAATCTCAAATTCTGAAATTCTTAATGGTAATATTTAGTGGGATACAATGTTACATTGTTATACTAATGCATACAATGTGTTTAGAATTTTTTCTTTAACTTTAACTGTGAAAAGGTAAAATCATGCAATGCAAATATATGCATTTAGGCACATAGAAAAACTGGAATGTAAGTTAAATCTGTCTTTTATATATATTGAAGTAGAATACCTTTCCGGGTCAATGAAACAAAAAGTCATCTTAAAAATCACCATGTTTTTTTAACATTTAGAGGTTGTTGGTGATACTATTCTTTAAAGTATCTGCCTTCAGAAATGTCACATTATGGGCTAGATTATCATAACAATTTTGCCATAGACGTCAATGGAGCAAATGTTATTTGGTAGCCGAATAAATCGTTACTCTCTTAAAATAATCTAGACCTGTGTTGTTAATAATAATATATATTTAGTATTTATTTCGTAGTTACTTCAAATGCAATCATATACTTCTAGTTTATTTGGACCTCCTCTGATTTTTTTTGATATGGTGCTCATTAAATATATGTACTAATTTTATACTAATCTCAGCTGAAGAAAATTAAATTTTCATTGGGCTGGATTTTCTTAGCATAGTAAGTTTATCTGACCCACTATTTCCCGTATATATATCAGTAACTTAAAGAAACCTTAGTTTAAAATGTTTAAAAAAATTAAATGTCATAACTTTCTCGCGAAAAACCCAGACATATTTTAAAACCACATTTGAAACTACATTGATGATAGTTTCACTAGATTAAAGTATAGTTTTAAACTAATATATATATATAAAAGAATCTGAGCTTGTGTGTTATCTACAAAGATCTCATGAAGGTACCGGAAAGATTGGAATTGATGAGAATACTTCAGTGAAGTATACAGTACATATTGTTCCCACAAACCATTGAATTATTCACTTACGTGATATCTTTCTTAAAGTTTTGTTTTTAAGGAGATGCAAGCATAGTTTGTTTAAGCATAGATAAAGCAGTGAACATTCCAATTGAAGATATAGAAGATTGTAGAGTAAATATTTGTCTTCTTTTTTTCTTTATTATTGCCAATAGTTTTGTTTCTCTGTTTTAACACTTGTTATCATGTTCAGTGCTGTGAGCCATTGTAACGTGAGATCCTTGAAAGTAAAGACATTGTTATATTATTAAAGGGACACTAAAGTGACTATAACAACCACAGCTTATTGTATTTGTTCTGGTGAGCAGAATCATTCCATTCAGGCTTTTTGCAGTAAAATGCAGTGTTTACATTACAGCCTAGGGATACCTCCACTGGCCACTCTTCATATGGCTACTAGAGCTGCTTCCTGGGGGCATACAGTGCATTGATAAACTGAACTTACCTCATTCAGTGAATTTCTATGAGGAGATGCTGATTGGCCAGGGCTGTGTTTGGCTTGTGCTGGTTCTACCCCCTGATTGGCCTCCTTGACACTCTCAGCCAATCCAATGCTTTCCTTGGAAAGCATTGCGATTAGCTTTGAACAACACTTCAGATGATGTTAGCCAAGCAGGCAGATCAGAGGCAGAGCCAGCAGCAGCAGACTGGAATAAAGGTAACAGTTTACTATATTTAGGGGAGAAACTGGAGCCAGGGGGCAGAGGGGGGAGCTAAATGGTGTTTTTAACACTATAGGGTCAGATGTTACATCTGCATCACTGGACTAATATGGCTACAATCACTATAGAAATACATGTTTGTTTCTGACCCTATAGTGTTCTTTTAAGCAGAGTTACTCATAGGGCTTTTTATGAAAGTGATAATTCAAGGTTAATTAAAAGTGAATTTCAAATTTGTTGACTATTTTATCAGATTGAACTTTAATGTGAAATTCACTTTGAATTCACTTTGAATTTTAAATTTAGAAGATAACCCTGACAGTGATTTGAAATAAAAGTGAGATTTGTTGGGAATTTAACGTGAATTTCCAATGTAAGACCTCAGGAGCTGGAACTGGAAACATTCTTCAAGTCAGCTGTGCTTCTACTTCATCTATTGAGGCCTTAAATTTTAAAATCTGAAATATTATCGCTACCATTATCACTTTAACAATACCCTGTCTGCAGACCTATGTGATATTATAGGAATACATAGAAGACTAGAGCAGGGGTTGGCAACCTTCGGCACTCCAGATGTCATGGACTACATCACCCCTGGTGTTCTCCCAGAACTATAGCTGTCAAAGCATTATGGGATATGTAGTCAACAAAATCTGGAGTGCCGACAGTTGCCGACCCCTCCTCTAGTCTTCTATGTATTCCTATAATATCACATAGGTCTGCAGACAGGGTATTGTTAAAGTGATAATGGTAGCGATAATATTTCAGATCAGTTTCCCTCACTTCCCTCTTAAATGTATTTAACCAGAACCTGAGGATGCAGACTGGAAGGCATATTGAACGCAAGTAAATATTTTTATCATGAACTTAAAAAAAATAAAAGTGACTTTAAATGCCTGGAACATCCCTTGAAATAACATGTTAGCTCCCCAAAAACTTTCTAAGAGGCATTTATTTGGTAGTAAGGTCTTTTGACTCGAGAATCAACTTACTGAGTTGGGGGGAAAAAAAATCAAAGAGGGTTTCTTACATCCCCAGATGCTTTAAAACTACAGCTTCCATGATAGTTTGTCATTCTAAAGGCATGCAAAGCATCATGGGAGTTGTAGTTCTACAACATCAGGGGATCTACCTTTTCAGCACACATGATGTACAGCATGCCTGCTAATATGCTTTTTAACATATTTAAAAGAAACTGTTACTCTACACACAATGTAATATCGGAGCAATATATTTAGACGCACAAGTGGTTTGTACAAAACGTACTTAGCAGAAAACCATTTCCCATCCTCTTAAATAACCAGTCATATATAAATAGAGTGTTAAAAAGTAATCTGGAAATATTTGTCCTCGATGTCTGAATATCTGCTCCAATAATTATCTTTTCTTTGAGTAACTGTGCTTTGATTTTCAAGTTAGAAAACGTGTTAGCTGTAGTATATTGCAGATTTTATTAGCAATTAGAGGGATTTATTCAGAAAATATGCACTTGTTAAGAATTCAAATCCATTTCAAACTTTGGGACCAAATAACTTATTTGGGACAATTTGTCAATTCAGCTATAGTCATATTACATATATTTATAACAGTATTTTATTACTTACCATGTTTTCCACCTGTATTGTGATTTCCTGAAACCCTAGGACAAAGCAAATAAAATAGTTATTCGTGTGTGGTTGGTGTTGCTGTTTTTAAATACTTTTACACAACAACAATAAAGTAATAATTTCTAATAATTCTACAATTTCTACAATATTACTGTAAAAAAAAAAGAGACAACTTCCCTCACTGAGGCCTTTGCCATTATGGAGGTACAATTAGTGTACTTACTGAATGTCATGGCCTTCAAGAAGGCGCTTGTAGGTTGCAATTTCCATTTCCAGATGGGTTTTCTGGTCCATGAGAATCTTGTACTCATGGTTCTGTCGCTCCAGGTCAGATCGAACTTGAGCCAATTTAGATTCTACACTGTCGATCATACTTTGCAACTGGGCAATCTGAGATCCATAGGTTCCTTGTGTCTCTGCCAAGGTGCATTCCAGAGCTGATGTCTTTAAAGAAGCATAAATTATATTTTCATAGGTGTTTGACAATAAATATTAATTCTTCCTATCACGCTATAATAATTGTGTCCCATGCGAACTTTGAAATATTGATAACATTAGTTATGGGTAAACATACCATGCTCAGCTGACTCTGTAGCTCAATCTCCAGGGTCTGCAGGGTACGCTTCAGTTCAATGACCTCCGTTTGTACAGATTGCAGCTGCTCGGCCCCAGACCCAATCTGCCGGTTCAGTTCTTCACTCTGTAAGAACAATAAACATTCAGCATGCAAATAGTGTTAAACATACATTCTGTTAAATTCATCAGTAACATCAGATAATTGCAGACCATTGTTATCAACCAGAATCTTGTCTTGATCATGTGCTGCTATAAGAAGCAGCTGACCACATTGTAAAGGGAGATTGATTTTACACTATAATTGTCTTACCACCCCTCACTATTATTACACATGGACCTATAAATTATTGCAATGACCACATTGATCCAATCACTTTCCACCACTCTCTCAAGGTCCACATCTTGACCAGAACAGGCATTCATGTCAAATAGATAACACAAGGATTTTCATAAAACACTTGTCTTCATAATTGGTCTTCTTCTTATCAGACATGTGTCCAGTAGAACATTTAATGAGTATTGATAGGACAGTACTAATAGAAATGTAGGGTAGGCTTCTAAGACCCACACTCAAACTACTAAATAAAGCACAGAAACAGAAGGTCTCCAAGGTAAAATAACTTTCAGATATTATATAATTTGCTGAAACATATAAAACATTTTTGAATAGTAATAATAAGTATACATACCCTCTGAATGAACATGTTTTCAGTTTCTCTCAGGTTATTTTGCATTAGATTTTCATACTGGTCTCGAATTTCTGACAATGCCCTGTTCAGATCGATTGATGGGGCAGCATTTAACTCAACATTGACTCTGGCTCCCAGCTGTGCACGGAGACAGTTCACCTCCTGCATGGGGTTGAATATTGTAGATTGGGTTAAAATGTATACAGGTGGATTGTTTGAAACATAGTGTGACATGTCCTTACTATAAATTAGCTAACCCTTCCACCAAAAAGAAGAAATACATTCCTTGACTCAAATGGAAGCTTCAAATATGGGAACTTGCAGTGTTAGTGTGACAAAAGACTGTCATATTTTTAGTCTAAAGCAGAACCTCTTTCTGTACACTACCTCCTCATGGTTTCTCTTCATCTGCTGAAGTTCTTCCTGAAGGTTCTGAACTTCCATTTCTAGTTCACATCTCTCCCGATTCAGTCCTTCCAATACTCTGCGCAAGCAATTGGCATCTGACTCAGTGCCATTACTTAGCTGACGTTCCATTTCAAACCTACAGAAATACATTACAAAAATACAAGATTCTATTTGATGCCATTCAGGTTATAACATGGAGCTGAAAATGGAAAAATAACTATGCATTGCCAACAGGTGATGAATTGGTCTTATGGTATGTTATTATACTTACTTGTTCTTGAAGTCATCGGCAGCCAGTCTGGCATTGTCTATTTGGAGAAGAATCCTGGCGTTATCCATGGTGGCACTTGAGATCTAGAAGACATATCTTACTGTAGAACTCAAAGCATTTATTATTCTACAGAACTTTAATATTTTATTATTTTTCAAGGTAACATATGATACATATTATAAAATATGCAAGCATAAATGAACATTGACTATTTTTACATTAAGTCTTGCAGGTAATCTATATAGTCGCAAAAACTCATTGCATACATGGAACTTTGATCACCTAGTATAATTTATTTTCTACAATGGAACTCTTTTAAAGTTGAAATAAATAATATGTTCTTACCTGATTCTGGAGATCAGAAATTATCCTGAGATACTGGCTTGAGTCGGGTAATGAGCTGGGCGCATTGTTTGCATACCACTCACATATCTTCCTCTCCAGCTGGGCATTTTCCTGTTCAAGAGAGGTCACTTTATCTAGGTAGGTAGATAGTCTTTCATTCAAAAATTGCATGGTTTCTTTCTCATTGATGCTTAGCAGACCACTTTTCTTCCAACCACCATGGCCTCCAGAGCTGCTAAAATGGCTGCTATGTGATCCCCCATGACTGATGGAAGCATTTTTAGAAAAGGAAACCCCTTTAGAGCCTGATCCACCATGAATACTGTGAGTGCCACAAGAGGTCTTACTGGAGCCTCCATGATAGGAGCCTCCATGAGCAGATAGATGAGAGCTGCCTTGAAGGGCACTTCCATGTTTGGACATATGGGAGCCTCCAAGGTGAGACATGTTTGAGCCTCCATAATTGGATTTATGAGACCCTGCATGGTGGGACATTCGGGAGCCTCCATAGAGGGACATATGTGACCCTCTATTGTGAGTCATTTGGGAACTTCCATGGTTGGATAAATGAGAGCCTCCATGGCAGGAGAGCTGTGACCCTCCGTGCTGAGTCATGGTGGAACCTCCATGGTAGGACAAATTGGATCCCCCATTCTGGGATTTGTGTAAAGACCCTCCAGTGGACATTTGGAATCCTCCATGTTGAGAGAAACTGGATCCTCCAAGATGGGATGAGGAAAAGCTACTTGAATGTTTTGAAGAGTGATCGCTTTTTGGGCAAGCAGATGCAGAGGAGAAATGCTTCATGATATGTTTCATGTTGAAGTAAAAGGTAAATGCCGACGGTTGCACAGAACACTGTCTCTGAAGCAAGTATTAATGCACAATTGATTCCTTGTACACATTCATCCTTTTTATGCTGACAGCCCAAGGCGTTGTACAAAACCGAGCAATGTTTATGTGCATTTTTTCCGGCTTCTCAGAGAAGCTAAATAAATTATATATCATCACTATTATTGTAGTTTAACAGCTGAATAAAGTTTCAATTATACGAGAATTTGAATCTTATAGGAAGGTGGATAAGGCAGCAGTAGTTTATTGCAATGCTCTACATCAGAAGGGAGAGCTTCACACACCCTGCCTATAATATTACATCCTGCCCTAATTCATGATCAAAGAGATATTAACGACTGACTAGTTTTATAATATGTTGCGCACTTCTAGTCGAAGTCTGTCCATGGCTTATTTTACTTTATCTTACTGTTAATCTATAGCAGGGCTCTCCAAACTCTGGCCCTCCAGATGTTTTTGAACTACAACTCCTATGACTCTCTGGCTATCTATTTTATTCAAATAATCATGGGAGTTGTAGTTCTGTAGCACCTGGAAGGTCAAGGTTTGGAGAACCCTGATTTATAGTGTTGTTAGATTAGACAGTGATTAGATTAACACTCTTGTTTTGTCACAATTGCTTGGATGTCCTTATCTATATGACTATGGATTGTACTATACAGGCATACCCCGCTTTACATACACTCACTGTAAGTACACTCACGAGCACAGACATACCCGCGAGTGTACGTAAGGGTGCCTCACAAGTACAAACATTCCCGTGCCTCTTCTGTCCGCGAGTGAACAGGAAATGGAAGGTTCTGTTCTAACCCGGAGCAGCTCAGTTCAGTGTCTTTGGGGCAAGAACTTTTCACACCTTCTGACATGGCACAGGTTAATCATCTCAAAGTTATAATGTCTACTCCTAGCTGAACATATATATATATATATTATTTCTGCCCCTACATTGTCCATATTCTGCAATCAGCGCAGGTTTAAGGTTGTCAGATGAGTAAAACATTAAAGGTAAAGGATACAATCTGGAATGAGATTTTTTTTTTTTACTATTTGTTTTAACTGAATAAAAATTTCCCACTGGAAATCACTAAATAAATCACTGGAAATAAAATCACTGGAAGTCTGCAGTTGCAGTATCAGTTATGCCTGTAAATGACTATTGCAATGCAGCACATGCATTGGGAAGTGAAAACATGGAATTGCTTCACTTTAAGTACATTTTCGTTTTACATACATGCTCTGGTCCCATTGTGTACTTAAAAGTGGGGTATGCCTGTATGTGTTTAAATAAAGTATTAAATTGTATTTGTATTTATTTTTTATTTAGTATATGTGAGAATGTCAAGGTTTAGTAAAAAAACAAATCCCAAAGAAGTTAATGTGTTTAACGCAGAAAAGGAGTGGAAATATGAAATAGATATCTGTCTATCATAGTTATTCACCAGAGTGAGAATTCAAGATAAATTCAAGGAGAAAATTAGGGTCCGAGTAGCTAATCTGAAAGAATAGCAGATTTAGAGAATTTTTCCAATTCAGCTATTTTAACCTACAATCTGAAATTCGCTTTAGTGAATACACAATATATATCTATATAATAAATATGCTACTACTTTTCATTATGTGACTAACACGTGAGGAACATGTAGAGGAACGCAATACTAAATATATAGGAACAAACAAATGACACTTTTACAAGTTACTTTATCACTTAAAGGACCACTATAGTTACAGGAAAACAAACTCATTTTCCTGGCTCTATATAGTCCTTAGGTCCCCCCCACCCCACACTCAGGGCCCCCTTTCCGCTGGGCTGAAGGGGGTAAAACCCCTTCAGCCACTTACCTTAAACCAGCGCTGGGCTCCCTCAGCACTGGTGACCTCTCCTCCCCCTCCGACATCAGCTTCCAAGTGGAGCCGAATGCGCATGCAATGCCAGAAGTGCACGCGCATTCAAACCGCCCATAGAAAAGCATTAATCAATGCTTTCCTATAGTCGTTCTGCATGCTCAATGTGATTTTTGCATTGAGCGACGCGGAGGCGCCTCTAGCGGCTGTCAGAAAGACAGCCACTAGAGGCTGGATTAAACCTGCAATGTAAACATAGCAGTTTCTCTATGTTTACAGTTGCAGGGTTAAAACCTGGGGGGACCTGGCACCCAGACCACTTCATTGAGTTGAAGTGGTCTGGGTGACTATAGTGGTCCTTTAAAACACGTCAGTCTGAAGAAAACAGTAGAGCATGCAAAAAAGCCACTGCCTAGTATAAATAAATAAGTAAAATAAAATGAATTAATACATCAATAAATTTCCCCAGAGATAGAAGCCGATGGCCACTCATAGGAATACACAGAGTAAGTGTCTGATAAAATATCACAATATGAGAATTAGTATAGCAAGAGGAATTGGCTGAAAGTTAGCGCCTATGAAATTGGCCAAAAGTAAATCCACTGAAGAAAAGTAATTAATAGAATAGATGAGGTAGATGGTAAGCTGGTTGTCCAAAACCATTGTTCTCTGGTATCGTGATGTAACAGGAAATACCTTTCTTGGTGTAACAAATATTACCCATTCCACCCCTGCTGTGACTTCATCAAAGACAAATCAATTGTAGCCTTTAATGTTCTTTATTTAAAAAGCTGTGTTGACCAGCACACATAAGTTAAAAAGCTGTAATGTCAAACCCGAAGTTAAAATTAAAAGAAACCTTTGACTTTTTTATTGAAAAAGAAGGTTTCATCAAATTTTAGCCTCTGTATGTTTTTCTCACATGTACGCAAAGGTAAATAAATAGTATGATGAAAGATGTTTATTCGACTTGTGCACAGAGCGATTGATCCAAACTGTAAAATTTGTTCGGGATGTCCAACTCTCGGAAAATGTGCCAGCCTGGTTCGGCCACAATTCAGTTGTGAAAATTGATTTTGTTGAACATTTTTAACAGCACTTGATAAGCAGCTGCCACATAAAATAGTTAAAATGTATTGGTATAAGTGTAACATCTCTCTTATGCTTTTTATTCACGACATGCTGCAAGTAGGGACATATCTACTAAATAGTGAGCAACCAGAGGCTGTTCAATGTAATTATAACTAGTGTCATGCCAAAAGCATGAGTTGGTGTTTGATGTGTGTTTATATATGTTAAGAGTTGTTTTTTTGTAAACCTTGGGATGACGTTTATTATGGTCTTTGATCTTGCACCAGGCCTAGACCATAAAACATCTAGATAGCCATCACCAGAGCTGGACACAAGGAATTTCATAGAGTGGGCAATAGACTGCCAGACCAGCCCCCTCTGATCCCCCCCCCAGGGGTCTGCCCACTGAGAAAGAACTAGTTTAGATATATGAGGGTGTTGGACTATCCAGGGAAGTCAGTTATTCATTTTTCTTTTGTCAGTAACTTCTAGGAGACCTATACCATCTAAGACTCCCACAAGAATTCTATATGGGGTAAATATATGTAAGGAATTTCTTGTGTTTTCTCCTATTTTATTTTATGTACTGTGTTGCAATTTGTTTTCTGTATGTCATTTATTTCTGTATTTTGTACTCAGCACTGTGAATCCTTTTTGTCAGATTAAATGTTTACTTAATCAGCTTGTGTCTCTGTTCTCTATGAGCTTCACTCTCCAGAGGAAAGCTCAGGTAAACACATTACCAAAAGGGGTTAACTATATATGTTTTATCAGTAAAAGTAGAACTGTGATACTATAATTCTCCTGTGTGTGGGGTAACCTAAGACGCCCGGGTTTAAAAGTCTTGGTGGTGGCAGTAGTACTAAGGGGGATAGTGTAGAAGGGATTGCAGGGGTTAATTGAGTGGTTGCTGGGACTAGCAACAGGTAACCAGGGGTCTGGTGTCATTAACCCTGTCACTTCCACACTCTCCCCACTGTCTCGGCTGGGCCTATAGCCCACGCACGTGACAACTAGTAACTGGGCAAATACTGGGATGGACCCTGTATACCTCCAGGGGCACCTGACACAAGTCACATCCCTGTGCCGTCACCAATGGATATCAGGTGGCAACTTCAAATTGGTGGACAGTGACTCTGGCAAGTGAGTGGGAGCTCTAATATTGGTAAGGGGGGACATAATGCCCTCTAGCCACCACCCATGGGTGGCATGTGGGTGATCTAATTTAAAAAAGGAGGGGACCTAGTGTGAACACAGCCGCATCATTGGGCAGCAATGTGGGTTTTAATATTGATAAACAGGGGAGAAAGCAGGTCTCCCCAGCCCCCACCCAAGGGGTGGTTGTCAGGGTCTATTTAATAAATAATTGGTTGGAATGACATTCTATTTTCCACACCTACCAAATGCCTTCAGGTGTGGAGGTAATACATGTGATGGTGGGCAAACATTCAATTGTCCTTCTCTCCCAAGTTATGTATAATAAAATTAGTAACTATTTAAAATAAAAAAAGAACGGTTTCACAAACTAAGGTTTTTTTTGTCATTTGTCCTACTGAATGTCTTTTACGTCTTCTTTTGTATCTCCATATTTTCTTTTTCAAAAGATTTACCACATGAAAACCAGATGGACATGTCATGCAATAAGTTCATATGCACAAAGCTATTTTCCATTCTAAAACAAAAGGAACTAGGTAGACCTTGAGATTCATTTTGGTCCACACTACAATTGGTCCGAACTTGGGCCTGTTAGGTAGTTGGCTGAATTCCTGAACTCCGAGCTGAAATGTACCCGAACCACAAACAAAATGAGACACACAATGGCTGAAAATGTTTAATTCATAATTCTGAATTTTGTCTCTGATAACAAAAAAACAGATGATTGATGGGGAAAAAAAAGATTATTGATGGCTACAGGGTAGTCACTAAATATTAATAATATTTACAGATCAAGAAGAGACCAATACATGAAAAAAAAGGAGGAGACAAAGCATAACTAAGTATATTAATATATTATATATTTAACTAGAAAAGCTACAATTTCTGGGGAAATTGTGTGAAGTGTTCTTGCCTCCACCAGTAGTCTACAACTAGGGATCGAGCAATTATCGGTTTTA